TTTTTTTTTTTTATTTTTTTTTTTTTCATGTCTGACGACTGTACAAACGATACTAATCTATATCAAAAGAGAGTATGTAGTAGTAGTATGCTAGTTTGTTTTTCTTTCTGATTTTTTTTTTCTTTTTTGTGTTTGTTGTTTTTTCTTTCAAGTAATAGGGGGGAGAGGGGGCTGTTGATGGGTATGGGGTTCTTGGGGAGGAGGAGAGAGACGGCTTGGCGAGGAGGACGAGGATGAGGTGGATGGTGCAGGTTTTGAGTGGCGTGGGGAGTCTGTTTCTTGGACGAGTGACGATTTCGGGCGGTATTTTTGGCGATGGGGTGCGTGCCTGAGTGTTGGTTTGAGAAGGTCGAGAGTGGCTGCCCGGCGTGTATGCTGGCGGTGGTGGGTGGCAGGCAGGAGGTGTTGATGGCGCTGAGGGCGAATCTGAAGGGGAGGGCGAAGAACAGGGAGCCCAGGTTGTTGGGGCTCGTGGAGGCTTGGATGTCCATGTTTGGGTGGGATGAGGAGCGGGAGATGAGGGCGCAGAGTGACGCGCTGGCTGTGGAGGTGAATGATGTCAGGCAGTGGATGCATGATCGCAAGGTTAGGAAGAGGGGGGAGAGGGCGGCAAGGGGGGAACCCGAGGACCGGAGAAAGCCCCCGGGGGAGCTCCCGTCGGGAACCAAGTTCATTGATGGCGTGCCTATGCCTAATTATAGGATGCTGGACCGCGTTCGGCAACATCATGGTAGCAAAGACCGCGGTGGATCGCCAACGGACAAGAAGGCCGTGGACGGTGTGTCAAGGCCGCGGTCTGACTTGCCAGCCGACGGCCACCAGCATCGTGATAGTATTATCTACCAAGCCCCAACAACGCCCGCGGGTTGGTCAAGAAGGGTAGTGGACACTGCACCCCCGTTGAATGGTACGGTCTGGCACCAAGAAAGTTGGACCTCGATCATTTCGTCGCAAACCATTTCCCCTGTTACACCCATTACACCTTCTTCCTATACCCCCTCTTCCGTTTATATCACCCCTTCCTCCTCCCAGCCCCATCTCACCCCTTCCATCACCAAGCCCAACTTCGCCCCTCCCCCTTCCAGCTCCTACCTAACCCCTTCCACCTCCAACCCTTGGTTCAAACACGCCTCGTCCAACCTTGACGCCAACACTCCCCCTCCCCCCCGCCTTTCCTTATTCACCGCTGCCAGTTTCGACTCGGCTGGCGCCTATTTCCCACCTCGCAACGACTGGCACAACAGGGAGAGCAGCAGGGCCCAGGGGGCTTCCCGTCCTCGGCGGCAGAGCAAGGACGAGGAGGGCCATCCGTCGAATGCGACCACCTGGGCTGACCTCTATGGGGCTCGGGGGCGCTGAATGGCTGATGCTGTAGGGATGTTTGAGGTCTAGTTCGTGTCGTATGGGTGGAAGTGACAACGGGAAGTCGTTTGTTCGACCATGTTCTGAGCTCGATATGAAAGAAAGTAAGTATTGTAGCGATTGTCTGGAACAAGGAAGAAGTTGCCACTTGCCGTTGGCACCGCTTTATGGTAGCTTGCCGTCTGTCTACCTACTGGTCATAGCCACTGCATCTCTGTTACGAGAAGGAGGTAATTAGTAGGCAAGGCCTTGCCCTCGGTTCGGTACAAACCTGAGGTAGTAGACCTTTGGCATCTCCATGTACTGAGCCATTTTGAAGATATACTACTTTCATTATCTACACTTTATCTACTATCATTCTTAAGTCCACTTTCCGTGATATCTCTGATTTGACTGTGATGAAACATGCTAAACATGTGAACGTGTGAGCGTCTAGAGCGGTAATGTTTTCATGTTTAAATGTGAAGAGATGGATAGATAGACATGGCCAAAAAAGCCATCCCATGGCATACCGGAGAACACCAGTATTCTAGAACCAAACCCACCAGCCTTTACAGTGAAGCTTTTCCCATTGCAGGTATACAGGGTATTTCCCAGCTGTCTCTACGACATCTATGCAATGCACCACCTGCACCACCCAGCCTACTATACAAACAACCCGTACCCTCTCTCTATCATCATCATCTATCATCATCGTATCATACACCCCCCGCCTCAGCATCCGCGCGCTCCTCCTCCTTCAACAAGTCCCTCAGTGCCGGCAAAAACAACCCCGCCTGCTTAAACTCACCCAGCTTGACCCGCATCATATCAAAGGCAAACAGCACGTCCATATCGTGCCGCCCATCCGTCTCCAGCGCCTTCTCGTCCACGACGGGCAGCTTGGGGTAGCGCTGGGAGAAGTGGGTGAGGAGGATGCGGCGGGCCTCCATCTGGCGGCCGACGTCGAGGGCCTCGGACAGGGTGGAGTGCTTCTTGGCGAGGGCGTCGCCGCCGAGCTCGTCCTCGAAGGTGCACTCGTGCAGGAGCAGGTGGGCGCCGCGGCCGAGCTCGGCGAATTGCCGCGAGGGCCGGCAGTCGCCCGAGTAGGCCAGCTTGAGGCCCGTGTCGGGGAAGGTGAGCACCACGGCGGTGGCTTCGTAGCAGTGGTCGACGAAGCAGGATTCGATCTGGGGGAGCTGTAGGGTTTGGGGGTCGAAGTCGGCGGGGAAGGTCGCCTGGGCGTGGCGGCCTGGGATCGGGTTGCCCGGGGAGCGGAGGGTGATGGGGACGATGCGCTCCGGGCTGAGGTCTTGGACTTGGTGGAACTCGCGGATGAAGTCCTGGTACTTTTGCGTGGCGATAAGCGCCAGCTTGTTGCCCTCGGGCGCGACCTCTCGCCAACGGGACAGGACATTGACGGTGCCGAGGTGGTGGTCGGCGTGGGCGTGGCTGATGTAGATAGCGCGGAGGTCCCGGAGGATGTCATCGGCGGCTTGGTAGCCGAAGGCGCGGCGGAGCTGACCGAGCGTGTTCTCGCCACAGTCGAGGATGTAGTTGCCCCAGCCGGGGACGCGGATCAACGTGGCCGACACGTTGCGGTATTTGGATGGCATGGCCGAGCCGGTGCCCAGCGGCACGATTTCGGTCTGCGGGCTCGGCAGGTCCTGCTGCAACCTCTCGACCTCGGCAAGGAAGTCCGTTTCGGAAACTGCTTTTTGGGCAACCCTGGCTAGCTTCATGACCTGCGGGGTGTACGTTGCCAGCTCCCAGAGGGGCCTTTTAGTGTCCATCGGTGGGACGACAAGGTCAGTGAGGAACGAGGGTTTCGGAGCAAGCTGATATTTGAGACCTGCGCGGGCAAGCTCGGCGACAGATTCTAGTTCTTGGCCGAGTTCGGACGTCGGTTGGGAGTCGAACACGGGGAGCGGGAACCTGTCTCTATCGATACTGTTCATCTTGATGAGTTGGGAGGTAGGGGACTCGAGGGCCGGGACGTTGGGGCACACGGCGCTGCCGAGCACAATGTGTTTGGCTGATGACAGCGTCTTGATGAATTGAGACACCCCTGGGCTTTCGAGGGTGATACCATCAGAAAGGATCCAGTAAACGGTATCGATTCCCTGCATGATCTCTGGATTCGACCATTCATGGCGGTTGAGCAGATCATCGATCAGATCCTGGGATGTGAGATCGATAACGGCAAAACCGCGACCTTCAATCTGGTCCCCCATGACCATATTTGGAGTGACAACGGACCCGTCTTTCCCGGGCACGGATTCGCCCTTGGTGAGCTTCTTGAAATCGGTCTTCTGGACACCGAGACTGGTAGCCGCATTGACGTCGAACTTGCCTCGCCGCGGATGACACTTCACGATATAACACATGGACTGCTTAGACGGTTTTGTGGGCGGGAGTTCGGGAATCTGAGAGGCCGGCCACGGCATCCGGACGAGAACCTTGGTGTTAGGAGCCTCGGATGCCGGGGGGCCGGCGTAGGCTTCTATATGACCCTGGGCGTTCCTGACGAAAATCTTGGCCGGCAACTGCACGTCCGCAAGTCTCATCTCGCGCAGGGTATCGAGTTTCCACTTGGAACAGAACATGTCGTTGACGACGGCTTCTCTGATATTTTGATCCGCCTCCTCCGCAGCTAGATTTTCGTGCGAGTTGGAGGACGAGCTCAACTTCTGCTTCTTGGGCGAGCTCTGCCTGGAGGGGCGGGCCGTCGGCTTCTCCTTCGACAACGGGATGGACCAAACGCGGATATTCTCATCCTCGTAGTCGGGGTCGTCCTTCCCTTCCAGCTCGGCGCGGGGGTCGACCTGCAGCTCCCTGGTGTGGACAGGGAGGGCCTTCCGAAGAATGAAACGGCGAGCAGAGGCGAGCAGGTGTACCAGGTTCTTCCCGCCATGTATATTCAAATGAGGAGGAATCGATTTGTCCTTTTCCTTCTCCTTCTTTCCCTTGCTGCGGAGCTTCTCGTTGGTCAGGTCAATGTCGGCGGCGGACGCGGCCTTGAGGTCGGCGAGTGTAAGGATCATGCCGAGCAGGCCACCGGTAGCCTCCCAGTTGATGCATCCCGTAAGGAAGATATCTTGAATCTTTGCGAGCGACACCTTGCGCTGGACCAGGGTGCGCTGCGAGCCTTCTGCTATGCGACCAAAAAGGTACCGGCGATTGTCGAAATGCAGCATGAGGCACCCCCCAGGCGTGTCAGCCGTGGGGGTGCTCAAGATCTGGACGTAGCACAGCATGCCGGTCGGTCGAGAGAGGATGGTGATGGCGGGGTGAGGACCCTGGAACCGGCGGGAGGGGACGAGGACAAAGCGAGGGGCCCTCGGCCTACTGGATTCGATGGGTCGGGGAGTGGAACCAGGGAACAACGATTTGGGGAAGATGGCCGCGGTCGATTGGCAAAGCTGAGGTGATGGGTTTGTAGCTTGGAGTTTGGCGAAGGTACGAAAGGAGCGGGACTGGAACAGAAAGAATGCAGGCGGCGAGGAGGGGAGGTGCAGCGGCAGCGATGGGGTTGGCACTTTTTGGAGTTTGCACGAGACCCGCACGATGTTTGCCTTTGCGGTTGCATACATCTAGGGAACCGGCGCCTCCGCACGCACGCCGCTTTAAATTACCCGTCCGATGGGTGCCCTAGATTTCATAGGTTCTGTTCGTCGAGGGAGGCGAGGCTTTGGCCGGTGACTCAACCTCGATCTGTCGGTTACCTATACTCAGCACAGACGAGCCCGGCACTGTGCTCGACTTTCCCGCGTTTCTTAGCGGTTGAAAGTCAACGGGGCGTTTTTTTTCTGCTGGCTAATTGCGGGTCTTCAAAGGCGGCTTCTTAATACGGCAGGCGGTGAGTGCTACAGACTCGTAGAATCATCTGGGGGTTAGGGTCGGAGGTGTGGTGCCCAACCAGCACTGCCCATGTGAATAACTCTTTGCGTACAATGACTCTTGAAGGAATGGAATGTGCCCAATTTGAAGCTCATAGACTGAGTTTTATCCTCTTGATAACACCTATCTACCGCCGCGGTATACGTGTGTACTCCAGCCGTCCCAACGTATCCCCCTCTCTAGTTACCCCTTACCCCTTACCCCCTTGTTGATATCATAGTCCTCATTTATCAAAGTCCATTTTCCTCATCGCGTCTCTCACAATGCCCTCGGCTTCGGCAATGACATCGTCGCCTTTCCTCCAAGTATACAACTTCACCCCTTGCTTATCCAGCGTCTCGTGGGCCATTGCCAGCCTCTGCAGCCATAAGGCCACCTTCTTGTTGACAGCCGCTGTTGCCGCCGCGCCGTTTGGCGGCGTCGCTGTTTCGGAGATACTAGTTGGGTATCCGCCAGACACGTTCGGGAGTGGCTCCATTTCCGGCACGTCTGAGTTGAGATAGCCGCTGCTGCGTGGGTTCTGTGGGTGCTGTACCATTGGGGCAGTCCCGCGGCGACGGGGCGGCGGTGGCGGTGGCGGTGTTGGTTTTGAAGTGATTGGAGATGTGCCGGCAGAGGTACGTGGCCGGAGGGGCAGTCCTGGGCTAATATCAGGCCCAGTAGGGGTGCTTCGTTGACTGTTAGAGCTGGCATCGGAGGGTGTGCTCCGTAACGCAGCCGGTTTGACTGGCCGCCGTGGCGGTGGTTTCCGTGGTGGCGTATCGGAGCTCGGAGTGCTGAGATTTGCTAGGTCCTGAAGGCTCCCAGTTCTAGGCGAACTTGTGGGTTCGGGTTCGTCGAAGTCGATGAGCGTTCCCATAATTGGCCCTGAGCTGGCGGGCGGGGCGGTCGCCCGGGGAGGTAGTTGTGGCCTCCTGTCAAGCTCGTCACTAGCTGACTGCGCCCCTGGCCTGGTTCTACCGCTCCCCTGTCTGTCCCGTTGCCCCGAATCTATGCTGTATGAGGAATCAAAAAAACCTGTTTGTTCTGGAGTGGTGACATCGCGAATGAAGACCGCCAGAATGCGGCCGGGGTTGGCCACGGCAAGCTCGGTATAGACCTCCAGGTCTGCCTCCCCGCTATCGCCAACGAGTAAGAACTTTCGCTCCGGGAAATCCCTGATGATGGCCTCCAACGTCCCCTTCTTTCGCTCCGCGACCGGCTCAAAAATCCCCTGAAGCATACCGCTATAGTGCTTCAGGTGCATCGACCCCTGGGGTAGGCCGGCCGTGTGGAGAAAGGTTGCTAGGACCGGGTACAGTTGCCACGGACTGTTGGAACAGTAATGCATCTTAACGCCCATATCGTGCATCGTGTGGTACCATTCCTTGACCCCGTCGACCGTCAAGTCGGCCAGGTCGCGCACTAAAGCGTTTCTGAAAATCTCGCGGGCGCCCATCGAGATGTTGGAGTGCTTGATCGTGTCGTCGACGTCGCTGATCAGGCTGACCCCTTTGGACCCGGTGATTTCGACCGGCTTCGTGGTCGAGATGCTCTCGTTCGCAATGACTCTGACATCCGTTGGGACAAATTCGAGGGCAACGCGGGTGTTGAAGTGTCCGGAATCGTCGGTCATGACCGTGTGAGACCGTGACTGTTCCTCGTTGTAGAAGAATATGGTGATAGGGATTTGCACCAATGGCGTCGTCATGAAAGGTCCGAGGCGTGCCATGAGATTTGCGTTGGCAACTGCGAGTTCGGCTTCTGTCATGTCCGTCTGTGACATAGTGGGTGTCCTCCCTGATAAGGTAGGTGACGTCGGCGCTGACCTAGAAATGTGGCTGCTTCCTTTCAAACCGCCCGGAGCCTCGCTGTATCCTCCTCTGTTTGCGACCTCTTTCTCGTCCTGCCCGCGTTTCTCGATCTCCTGAGCCTCCCGCGCAATTCTTTGCTCTTCCTTCATCTCTTCGTACTGCTCGTGAGAGCTTTCAGCAGACTCCGATTGTACCGTAGGCGCCGGAATCCCACTCAACCTCCTCGCGAGACCAACGAGCATACGATTCCGTCGTGTCATGGGCCCCTTGCTGGGCATGTATATCCACCCCCTCACATCCACATCCACCACGGCCTTTTCATCTTCCGCCCTCGCCCACTCCTGTTTCCAGTACTCTTTCCTCACTCACACCCATCTGCGCCGCGTTCGCGGCCTGGAACGATTGCCCGGGCGGCAGCCCACCGCGCTCACCAAACTCCTCTCACATGCTTCTTCGCATAAGGTCGGAAACAGCACCATCTGCTCATGTCCCTTCGTGATAATGGAAACCTCCGGAAACGCCCCCGGAATCGAGACCTGCGCCCCCGTCATATCCACCCCTCTGATCCTCGTATTATTATACTGCTCCTTCAGCTCGCTCGCGGCAGCCACCCCCCGCACGGTACACACTGCCGGCCACCGCAGCGAGCTTCTTCCGCCGCGACCCGCGCTCGCCGGGCGGCGTGGAGGTCCCCGACCCCAGCCCCGTCCCGTACGAGCCATACGCACTATACCCATACCCACCACCGCCGCTCCCACCGCCGCCGCCATATTGACTCTGCATCGCCGTGCGCGCGGCGCGACCTCCCAGCGCAGGCGCCGCCCCGCCGCCGCCGCTCTGCAGAGGAACCCGGCCCTTCTTTTCCAGCCCACACCACTCCCCTATTACCCAGACCCTGCCCTTGGCCCTGCCCAAGCCAGCGCCAACGCCCCTTCACCAACCCACTGGCGGCAACAACCGCGGCCTTGTTCCTACGCTCGCGCCGGCGCCGCTGGCGCTCGACGATGAAGCGGTAGATGCGGCTCTGTAGGCCGCGCTTGTAGCGCGGGAGGGTGTCGAGGCGGAAGCGCTGCAGGCGGTCGCGATAGCGCTGTGGGAAGAGGGCGCCGAGGAGGGAAGAGGGGGCGCTGTAGTGGTGGTGGTGGTGGTGGTGCGGGAGAGGCCGCGGGTGGTGCGGGCGGTTCGGGGGTTGTTGTTGCGGTTGTTGGTGGTGTGGGAGATGAGGGTTCGCCGCGCGTGCTGCTAGGAGGGGAAGGCGCTTGGGTCGGAGGTGGGGGGGTAGGGGTGGTGGTTTGAGGGGAGCCACTGTTGATGTTGAGGTTTGTTGCCGGGGAGGGAGGGTAGTGGTGGTGGCTTTTAGTTTTTCGAGAGGTGAGTTCGGTTTAGCTTTGCTTTGGTGGGAAAGAAAGGTTGGTATGTGCTTGAAGGATTGCTAGCGACCTTGGCTGGATTCCAGTTGCTAACCTCGTGTTTCCCTAAGTGTCTTGGAGTGGGTAGGCGCCAACGTGGGAGATTTGAAGCAAACAAATTGATCATAAGAGAAAACCTGAAAGCTCCTAGGATTATTTTGCGTCTGAACTGGGGATGCGCAAAGCTGTCCCCCAGTTCTTGCCCCGGACCATGTCTTACGTCACCCGCTAACGTTGACTGGGGGGAGTGATACATACAGGGGTGTGGTTCTGGACATCGAACACAGACTCGAAAGGAACAATGCCACTGGCCAAACTTCGGCACGAAAAAATACAATACACATGTAATCTACTACCTGGATATCACTAATTACCTCCTCCCCTTCCGCCCTGCTGGCGCTTTTGACTTGGGCTTCGTGACTTTCTTCAGATTCAGCACCGCCCCCTTTCCGTCTCTCTCTGCCCGTCCCTTTTTCCACCCAGTCGACTTGCTCTCGCTCCTCTCTGCCTTGGAGTCGAGCTTCTTCTTGTCTTTGTTGCTGAGTCTGCCCGCGCCCTTCTTCTTCATGGCGTCTCGGACGCCGTTGAGCTCGGCCCGCCCCAGCTCCTTGGCTTTCTTCTTGTCCTCCTGTGTCTCGAACCATGTCCTCTTCGGCCGCGCGTGGATCTCCTCCTCGTGCTTGATCAGGTTCTCGCCCTTCTTGACCTGCATCTCGATCTGGGCCAGCTGTTTCTCCTCCTTCTCCTCCTGCAGGATCTCGTCAATCTCATCGTCCATCTCGTCAATCTGATCCTGCCACTTGTCCGCATCCGCTGCGTCAATGACTCGGCTGATGATCTTGGCGCCTTGCGCTTTGCCAGCCCTGACAGCCGCCTTCACGACCTTGCGGTCCGGTTCCGCCGCCAATGTGATGGCAACGCCGCTACGGCCAGCACGAGCTGTACGACCGACACGATGGACGTAAATTTCCAGGGATTGGGGCGCTTCGTAGTTAATGACGGTATCGATTCCCTTGATATCCAAACCACGGGACGCAAGATCAGTGGCAAGCAGATAGTTTACTTTGCCGTCCCTGAACGCTTCGACGCTGGCAATACGCTAGAATTTGTTAGCATGATGGTGCCGCCGTTGGTAAGAGGGAAGCAGGGGCCATACCTGAGCCTGGTTCATGCTTCCATGGAGCTCTGTGCTCGAAAGCCCCAGCAAGCCGAAGATGATCCGGGTCCGGTGAGCAGTCTTCTTCTGCCTGAAGAAGATAATGACTCGTTCGGTGTACAGGGTCTTGCAGATATGGGCCCAAATACCCCATGCGCTTCTCCTCGCGGCCCGGCCGCAGGCGCACAAACTCCTGCGCTAGGGTAACGGCAGTTTGCTTCTGGGAGTCAACCATAATCCGAGCTGGTTTGTTGAGGCCAACCCTAATCAGTTTGTCGACTGTCGACGTCATGGTGGCGGAGAACAGCATCGTCTGGCGTGACTTGGGCAGCGTCGTCAGGATCTCGTTCAACTCGTCCGCGAAACCGTCCTCGAGCATTCTGTCGGCCTCATCGAGTACTAAAATCTCGACCGTCTCAACAGCAAAGCTGGCCGAGTTCCGCATGTGATCGATGAAACGACCAGGCGTGGCGATCACCACATCCGGTCTTAGGCGCAGCTCGCCCTCTTGGACCTTCAAGCTGAGACCACCAACAGCGAGACAAAACTTGATGTCGGTGTGGCTGGCCAGTTTGGTGGCCACGGAGTGACACTGAATCGCCAATTCACGGGTGGGCGTCAGGACCACAACTCGTGTGGTTGGTACTTTCTTGGGCCGGTACAGCAGCCGCTCCAGAATAGGCACCACGAAGGCGGCCGTCTTGCCAGAACCCGTGACAGCACCACCAACAACGTCCTTGCCCATCAACGCAATCGGGATCGTCTTGGCCTGAATAGGGGTCGGTTTTGTGAAACCAACTGAAGTGAGACCCCTGAGAATAGGTCTTGACAGCGACATTCCCTGGAATGAGGACAACCCGCCCTTCTTGCCGACATTTTCCGTCTCCTCCGGGGCGGCGAAGAACTCTTTCCGCCTCGCCTCCTCCTCGGCGTCTTCTTCGTCGTCGTCCTCGGAGGCTTCGTCGTCGGGATGTTGCACAGGCGTAGCCACCGAATCATTGTCCGACGCGGCTTCATCGTCATCTTCGCCCCCCTTGTCTTCCTCGTCCACACCTCCCTCACCATCCTCCATCTCTTCATCCTCTGGTTCTTCGTCGGCCTTCTCCTCCTCCTCCTCCTCCTCCGACATCAGACCCAACCCCCATCCCAAACCCATCCTCAGCCAGCACCTCATCATCCAAATCCAAATCCACCTCCCCCATATCCTCCACCTCCACCTCCTCCTCCTCCACCTTTTCCAACCCCTTCCCCTTCTTCTTCTCTCTCCGCCTCCGAATAATCTCATCCAGATCCACGCCACTCTTCACCTCCTGCCCAGCACCACCAGCACCCACCACACCCTTCTTAGCATTCTCAAACCCCCACCCTTCCTCATCAAACCCGCTCAGCCCATCCTCACCTCCACCGCCAGCCACAAACTCAAAGTCCGAGTCCATCGCCCCATCATCCGCATCATTGGCGCCCCACAAACCAGTCACCTCCTCCTCCTCTTCCTCATCCCCATCCTCACCATCCCCACCAGCAGCAGCAGATTTCCCCCCCTTCTTCCCCTTCTTCTCCTTCTTATTCTTCTTCCCCTTCACCGCCCCCGCGCCGGCCGTTCTAGCCTTCTTATTCGGCCGCCCGGCCACAGCAGCCGGAACGGTCTCCTCCTCCTCGTCGAGAATGTCGGGCTCGTCGTTGTCCGAGATGGTGTGAATGAAGTCGTCGTCGGGGAGCGACTTGCGCTTTTGCGAGGGCGCCATCTTGGGGGGGAAGGGGCCGGGAGGGCAATTGCACGGTAGGTTGTTTTGTTTTGGCAGTGCAATGCCGGTGGGGTTGGGGTGTGGTTTTTGTGGTGGTCTTGCGCGTCGCAAAGCAGGACTGCCCGGAAGGGTGATTTTTTTTGGGGTGCAGAGGGCCGCTGGAACTTTTTCTGCCGGGCGGTGAGGGGGCCTGGTTTGGGAGGTAGTGGGTTGTTCGGTGGTTTGGCGGCCGAAGGTGCTCGCTGTGGGGTCGATTGGCGATTTGGATCGCCTGTGGACCGGTTGGATTGCAGATGGAATTTATTACATACAGGTGCTGGGGCTCCTCCTTCAGCCTTGCCTCGTTGGGATTATACCCTTGCGGCTCCTTCATCCATACCATCCATACCAGCTCCGTCATACCGGCTCCTTCATACCGGATCCTCCACCTAGGCTCCTTCGTACAGGCATTCCATCCCTCTTCAAACATGCGGGCCGAAGCCGCCCGCCGAACAGGGCAGGAGGTGAGCTAGGTGTACGTACTTTTTTAAAGATGCAATGGAAGATCTCTTACTACCGAGGTAGATTGAATGGTTGGAGTGCTGTCCGATATTTTCTTACTTAGGTAACCAGTCTTTTCATTATTGGTTGAGGCCATAATATATCTTCACGGAAAAAAACTCAGCGGTAGAGAGGGTCCCAAGAGAACAGTTGAAGACTTGTAAACTTCTTTTGAGTGAAGCACTATCCAAAATCCAGACCATTGCCGTCCGGAGAAAGCGTCACCCGTTATATAGGTAGTCAAAATGTAGCTCTCTGTAATCCCCAACGCCGTGCCAATGGTATAATGCTCCACCTCTTTCCAGTCAGTCCAGGTATATCCCGACCCGTTCCATGCCGCGGTGCCGTGTCGACTTTTGCCTCCCTGTCAGATCCATCCTCCTCCATTCCATGTTCGTGGGTCGGTAGTAGTAATAGTAGTAGTAGTAGGTATTAGGTAAAAAGGGGGTTGCAGAAGAGTGTGTGAAGGTATCCCTCCCAAAACGGTCCACGACCCATCACCAACGTCACCTCGCTCCCTCACCCAGATCAAACTCTTCCACATCCCCATCTCCCTCCCTCCTCTCGCGCCTCGCATTGGCGGCCCTCGCCCTCGCCTTTGCCTCTCTCAACCTCATAATCTCCACATCATCCAGCAAAAACTTCTGCTCATCAATCTCCCGCCCCTGATGCGGCCCACTTCCACTTCCACTCCCACTCCCGCTCGCACCGCCACCGTTATACGCCCCGTGCGGCTGGTACGGCCTAAACGGCAGCTGGGGCGCGTGCTGGGGCGCAGCACCGGGCAGTTCGTACTCGACGATGTCCGAGGTGTAGTGGTAGAAGCCGTCCTTGGTGGGGGGCAGCTCGGCCTGGGCCTGGGGCTCGGCCAGCTTGCGCACGGCGCCCTTCTCCATGGCCTCGAAGTCCTCGGTCGTCGCGTACGGCGGGAGCGGGCCCATGGACGCGCCGAGCAAGGGGGAGTCGGCCTCCCACGAGAATTGCCGCTCGTGCGAGCCGGCCGAGGAGGAGGAGGCTTCTTGGATGCGCCGGTTGACGATGGACTCGTCGGGTGGGACGGTCGGGGATACGACGAGCGGGGTGGGCGTTACCCGGTTGGGGCCGTACGAGACGACGATGGGGATGGCGGCTTGTTGGCGCGGCGGTGAGGGCTTGGAGTCGGGCGTGGGGGTGGACATGGGGAGAGGTGCTGGGGGCGGGATGCTGTAGTTGGAGTAGTCGGCGTACTCGGAGGAGGGGAGGGGCATCATGGGAACGTGACCCGGTAGTTGTTCGATGCCGCCGGGGGTTATTGGGGTAGTGACCGGGTGGATGTTCAGTCGCGGGGTAATTCGGGGTGTGAGGGTGGGTGTGACGGGATTGGGGCCATACGATACGACCGTCGGCGCCGAGGGTTGAAGTTGAGACTTGAGCCGCGCCGCTGTGAGCTCCTCTCGTTCGATGCTGCGCTCGTGCGTCCAGAATCCGCCTGACTGCGAGTGGGTGGGTGACTGTGTCGTCGTGGGGGAGTGCGAGTGGGTAGAATGTGTCTGCGAAGTAGAGTGGAGCGAGCGTACGTCTTCGTAGCCCATCGAGCCAGGGAAGCCGTCGAATACTGGTTGTATGGGGCAGAGCGGCTCGTCCGAACTCCCAGACGTTTCTGACAAGGCACCCCCCCGCTTCTTCTCCGCCCCTTTCCTTCCCCGGCGACCGTGGTCGAATATGGCGCCGGATACTTCATTGTCTGGCGTGCGGCGCCGGCGCCTAAAGTACAAAAAGGAGGCCATGGCGCCGATGGCGATGCAGATGAGCGCGACTCCGACCCCTAGAGCTGCTTTGGCGCCTGTGCTAAAGCTTTCGTCCCGGGCGTCAGACTTCTTGGAGTCCACGTCGGCGGCAGTGCGAGCTGCCAAGGGGGGTGTCGTCGAGAAGGGCTGCAGGCGGGGCGGCTTCGACGCGTCGTTGGCCGAATAATCGCCCGTGTTGCGCTGGTCGGCAGACAGGACAAACGTCTCGCTGGTCTGTCGGCAGTCACCAGAAAGGGAGCCGAGCTCGAACCAACAAGGATCGTCGGACAAAAAAGTTAGAGTAACGGTGGCGCTCCCGTTAAACGGATCGACATTGTTGTCTCTGAACTCTAGAAAGGGGAGGGCCGGTTAGTTGCGATTGCTTTGGAGGAATGTTTGTGGAAGCACACAATAAATGATGGCCAGCAGCGGCGAGCCGCTCGCTTGTGAGATAAGGAGAGAGAGAGTGCTGCGGGAGGAGACTGGGTGGGTTCGAGTGCAACTTGGCGACCCAGAAGGGTGGAGGAAAAGGAACGGCACTGACTCTGTGTTGCCCGCCCGGTCGCGCCGCACCAACACGATAGTGTGGGATGTGCGAGGTCGGAACGGTAGGTGATGTTGATGGTGTCGAGGTGGTGAAGGGTGAGTTCTGGCGTTGGGAACAAGAACTCGGCTTCACAGTTTGCGCTCGCGACTCCGGCGGCGCTCATCAGCAGACTCGGGATTGCTAGGGAAGCGATGGGTAGGGTCTGGCGGCGCCGGCTGTTCCGCAGAGTCACAGTAGCCGTTCGTTTCGCCGTCGCCATAGCCGCTGCAGAGCGAGAGAGGCGGGATTTCGTCTCAGGGAGACATGGAATCGCTCCAGACCATCACAGATGGTGTGAGTTGTTCAGGACTTCAGATGAGACACAGGACAAACAACAAAACGGTTGGGATGGAAGTGTGAGCGGCAGAGCTGTCTGGCACGCGGGATGAGTGGATCGACGGGGTCAATGGAACAAAAGCTCCAGTGCGCAGTCCCTGGTGCGAACGGGCGCGGTGCGGGAAGAGGAGGGCGATGGGCTGAAGGGGGCCAGGGGCCGGGATTGGACAGCGAGACGAACAGCTGGAGCGCCCCCTTGGTGTTCGGTGTTGGTACTCGACAGACCCCCCGAGACCCGCTCCTGCATGAACGTCCTGGGACCCATGCATGCTTGTCTCCCTTGTCTCCCTTGTCCCCATCCAACACCATCCCAGCAAAGCCGACTAGCCGGTTGTCCAGCCCTCGATCTCATGCGCAGCAACGGCAAAGCATGTTTTCTGCCCTACACAGGACAGGTGCCATTCCCCTGCCGGTCGATGATGGGTCGCCCTCTTTCGTCGACGACACTCCTTCTCCTGCGTTTCTGCGCCGCAGCGATGCGGCGATGCTGCGGTCTGCCCCGTCCTCGGTGCCAAATCCGCTAACTTGTACTTGTAGAGTCAGCCCTGTGTTCAATGCTCGGTGGCTCTGGCGGCTATTCGTGCAATCGCGTCTGGGGGTGGCGTCGAGTTGAAGATGTGGATTGTGTCTGGCTGGCGTTGCATTGCTCATGTCAGGCGAACCGTCGCCATCTCTCGCCTCTTTTTGGCCCCCCCGCACCAGTGTCGTTTGCCCACCAGGACCAAAACCAACACTGCGCATTCCTCTTTTGTCTTGTGCGTGAGCTGGGCGAAACCACCCCACCTCAACATCGAGGTAAAGATACGTACGTTGGATTGAATCTGATGGGATTGCGCGATAATCGTATTCCAGGCTGAGGTCGGATTGATAAAACATTCCATTGTCCACAACCGCATCAAACTTTGTTGGTTGACCGTCTGTTGACATTGCTCACGCAGCCCACCTGCACTTGCAGACTGGCTTCCGCTCTTTGGCCAAAAAAAGCCGAACTCCAAGTGAAGGTGCCACCAAAACTTTCGACTAGAGGAACAAAAAGAAAGCCATTTGAAAACCCAAATTCCACTCTTTACTCTGCTTTGATTTCTTTTATTTGCTTTATTTTTCTCGATTTTCCTCATTTCCTTTTTCTTTTCTTGCTTTCTTTTTCTTCCGTCTCTTTGTTGGTTTTTCACTCTCCTTCCTCTCGAGTTCGTCTTTTTTTGGTAAGAGGGAGGCTTCCGCCAGTGCTTCCCAATTCGACTTCGCCTCCTCCATAATTAGCGCGCTCGCCTGAGGCGCACGGCGTCAAGGAGCGGCTGGTGATTGGCGAACTGGTCCGCGCACTGCCAAGGTTTGTTTCACTTTTCCTCGCATCTGCAACCAGAACAGGCAAGTTGGGTTGTGCTCCAGCAGCCCTGGGTTGTCCATCGAATCTGGAAGAATGTCGGTGCCAGCCAACAAAAAGTTTGTGTACTGTGTAGAAAAGTCAACTTTTTTTCGACAGCGGCAAAGCGGGTGCTGGGCGACACCAACCTGGCCCCCAAATGGCATTATCCATCGCAAATTTTGCGCTGCGGGGCTGTTCGGAACTGCGGCCCCGTCGAGTGTCACGTCACACGGATGGAGCGCTTGAACAAAAGTCGGTCGCTGTCGAGGCTGAGCATTGCGGGAAATGATCTGATGGTTCTGGCTGGGTCGAGCACGCCGCGGGACGGGCAATTCAGGAAAGTTATGAGTAAGAAGTGAAAAGGCTTTGTGCCACGGTCGAGGCACGGTTCACAAGAACAACGTGGTGGTCATGGAATGATCGGGTCGAGCCGACGCGGCTCATTCAACCATGAAACTAACTTGTGCGGCATGTAGTTGACGGGTGCTCTGGCGGCTCTCTTGAACCACAACTATTCTCACTGAGGGAATAACTTGACGTATAGTTGCATGGCTATCCTATCTCAGCAACCGGTTCGGTTTCTATCCCATTACACCGGGAACAATAACGCAAGAGATTGAGCCTGGAGCCTCGCTCAAGGGCACCCACCCTCATGGGTTGTAACTCCATATTTCAAGGTTTCGTGCTTGAAACAGTGTGTCTAGTGGCAGAGAATTGGTTGTCAGCAAACAATTGCTCAAGCTCTGTTTCCAGGGACGCAAACTCACCCGATTCTGGCCCCGGTGACCCCGAGGAGCCTTCCATCTGGAGGTTGATGATGCTACCGTCATCGTCAGCTTCTCATCCTCAAGCATACCATCCCTCGTTTGACCAAACTAATAACAAACAAGCAAAAGAACTCACAGATACATGGCCTTCCCCACGAACCCCCGTCCATACTGCGTCTCAATCACCTGCCCATCCATCGAGAACCGCACGCTCACATCCTTCCCATTTTCGTCCCTCACCTCACACAGAATCTTATGAAACTCCCCCGGACTCGGATACGCCACATCGCGCGCCCTGACCTGCGACGAGGTATTGAACGTATTAAACGAGATCTTGCCGCTGCCCTTCCACTCGGCCATATCCACCTCGGGCGGCCAGCCCTCGACGGCAGTCAGCCAAAACGCCGGCCAGGTGCCGCGGGCCGTGGTGGCGCGGAACTCGCCCGCAAAGTCGTACCCGCCGCCCGGCGCAACGTTGAAGTGCTCCTTGGCGTGCACCGCCCCGGAAAGGTAGCGGATGGCGATCTGCTGCCCGCCGTGCGAGGCCGGTTTCTCGCCGTTGACGCGCCGCGCCGTGAGGGTGAGCACGCCGTTGGAGAGGGTTGCTTGGGACTTGGCCATGCGCGCCGCGCCGTTGTGGTCGCTGCCCCAGGGGTAGAGGTAGTTCCAGTCGGTGTCGAAGTCGGATTGGGAGTTGAAGGACGTGTTGGGGATCATGATGTGCTTGGCTAGGGCGGTGGGGAGGGAGGGGGCTAGCAACAGGGCTGCGAGGTAGGTTGCGAGGGTCGCCATTTTTAGGGCTGGTTTTGACGAACTCGACTCCCTACTCAAATCCGAGTCGTGAAGGAGTCTGCGAAGGTTATGAGGTGCTATGGAAAGCACGTTATATAACAGGCCGCCATAACCGGGAACAGGAGGCCGGCTATAAAGATCTGCTTCTTATTCGAGGAAGATTTGGAGGATTAAGGGGTGATGGCATGCTGCTTCACTGCTGGTTAATCTATCCGAGAACAACCCCCTACCGCCTTGGGGTAAAGCCCGATGTCCGGAATCTGTTCATCCGCCGCGAGATGGGAGGCTTCATAAAAGCTAGGAGCAATTCCAGTACATGACAAGCTACCTGCACATGTCCTAGGCCATTGTTATTTCACAAAGAGAGTATACTCTTCAGGAGTGTGGTGCCGTTGCTGACCCTGGTTACGACTCACAAGGTATCAATTTACCTACCAATGCAGGAATAATCCTTTACTCTAATATTTTCATCGCTAATCTGGCCGAGAAGTGCTTGTTTCCGAGTTTTAAATGCTCGATCCCAGCGGCGCCGGATCTTTCCGTACGATGCCGAAGTTCCAACCATGCACGAGCGGCAGTTGATGCCGGTTGGGAGTCCGGGCTTGGCGTATCCTGCGTCCACCCCGGCCCGGTGGGTTCGGGGAAAGGCCGAGTGTTTCGGAGGTTTCTGCATCGTTGGCTGGGGATTGCTGCTCTTGAGTCAAGCAAGACTCCATTCTCCAATTATCTTTTCCATGGTGCCGTTGAAACGGGCCTTGCTAACCCGAGCCCACAGCCGGCAGCCGTTCCGCAATCCGTTACCCGACGGCAAGCGCTCTCCCGCCGGGTTGCCCCTCCCCCACCTTCGGCCTTCGCTTCTACTGCCGGGGAGCGCTCTCATCACCAAATATTTACTTGACGCCCTCCCCAACTTCACCTATGAAGCAAATTAGGAAACTTCTCGGTCTCAAGTCCAACCCCAAATTCTATCTCAACAAACGCCTCCTCAACAACACAGCCAAAATGGCAGCCGAAAAGACCGCGGCCTGGGAGAAGTCGATCCAGCGCAACCCCCACCCCGACTTCAAGAAAGTCGAAGCCTCCCGACCCCCGTTCGACCCCTCCACCACATTCACCTACACCCAAACCCCCTCCCCCAACTGGCAATTCGGGTCCGGCGCCAACTCCACCACCTCCCCAGAGGACGCCACCAAAAAGCACATCTCGATCGACCCGTACGAAGCGGACCGGCCCGCGGGCTTCAACTACAAACTCCTCATCTCGGCCATCATCCCGCGGCCCATCGCCTTCCTATCCACGCGCTCCGCCGACGGCGCGAACACCAACCTCGCCGTGTTCAGCTACTTCCAGGTGATCGGGCACGACCCGCCGCTGTTCGTGGTCGGGTTCGCGTCGGCGCTCGAGGCCGGCCGCGCCAAGGACTCGCTGCGCAACCTGCACGAGCGCGGCGAGTGCGTCATCAACATGGTCGGCGAGGGCTTCGTCGAGGCGGCCAACAGCACGAGCATTAACGCGCCGTACGGGGTCAGTGAGTGGGATGTGAGCGGGCTGACGCCCGTGTATGATTGTGAGACGGTGGGGTGTGCGAGAGTGAAGGAGGCAGTGTTTTCGATTGAGGGGAAGTTGGAGAGCGTGAGGGAGTTTGAGAGTAGGGCCACGCCGGGGAAGGTGACGGCGACGTTGGCGGTTATTGAGGGGACGAGGTTCTGGGCGAGGGAGGATGCGGTGAATGAGGAGAGGAATCTTATTGACACGAAGGTGAGTTTGACGAAGTCTTGGGGTGTGAGAAGTAGGGGGTTGATGCTGACTTAATGTGTGTGTTGCAGGTGTTGAAGCCGATCAGCAGGTTGGGGGGGATTACATATGGCCGGCAGACGGAAGCGTATGAGCTACCACGCCCGGACTTTGAGAAGGATCTAGGTGGGATGGAGGGTGCGAAGAAGCTGGAGAAGAAGCATGTTCCCAACTGAAGGTTAGACTGCGGAAAGGTTAGGTCGTAGTGCTGGTTGGCCGCGTTGGAGACCATAGAAATAGAAATAGACAACGGCAATAATGTGTGATGGTTTGTCCAAGGACCCTGAACTGCGGTTTTGGGGGTTAAAATAACAGTCCCCCCGTTTCATCCCTAGAGGCCTCAAAAAAGGTGCTGCAAGAACATGTAAAAAAAGAGCGTTTCGAAACTGGGGAACCATGCATCTGCGAGGTTTCGAACTCAGGGTACTTACCCAGCAAGAGGGAGAGCGATATATTAGGTAAACGCGTTGCTATTGCAAGTGTTTACCTGACTGTAAGCCACCCACTTCCTGATTGTGCTGTCAATTACACCACGCCGCATGTTTCAGTTGCTTGTTACTCTCCCTAAAAGTGCATTAAATAGTCGCTGGCATTTTTGGATTCGAGCAGGCCATCCGACGACTCATTTATCCACGTCTGTTCCCCTCCGCTTCCATTCCTAATTCACCTTCTGTTTCCTTTCTTCTTGACTTCGCAATCCTCACTTTCCGTTAAAATGTCTCTCCCCCATTGCTATCTCCTGACATCCACATCCAATGCCACAACTCGAAACTTCGCAAATCGCCTATACGTACACCCACCTATTAAGCGTTCCACATAGGTCAGTATACAACCCCAACTTAACAGCTCGAATCCTTCCAAAGGCGATTCTATATAACATCAACCATCTTTATGTCCCACTATCAAGTCATACAAACCATCACCACCACCATTCCGCTCGCAACGCCAGAATGTAAACAATCCCCGGGTATCCTTAACCCCGACTACCCCAACCACACCTCGGTGTCAAACACACCCTGCACCTCCCCCAATCAAAGGAAAAAGAAAAACCAAAAAAAGGACAAACAACAAACACCAAAGATAAAAAGAACCCCCAGCCAACCCCCCCTAC